AGGCGTGGGCTTCGGCTTCAGCTTAAGCTTAGGCCTAGGCTTAGGCTTACTTAGGCTTTGTTTAATCAAATCAGAACCTAAATGCCCAAATTCTAAATTCCTAACCTCTAACCATTCCAAAAGCATACCTGTCTTTTTTCAGAAGCGTTGCCCAGAAAACCCAGAAAAACGGCCGAACTCTTGCTGAAAACGCCGCACACAAAATTGATACCACCGACTTGAAAGCGAAGCAGATCGATACCTTTAGGGTAAGTATGCTTTAATCTTCTACAAACTGCATAATCCTTTTAGGACAAACAACTAATCGACCGGAAAGGAGACGGAACCTATGAAGAAGCCACAATAGTCCGAGGAGGGCTGCCAGGAATCGAGAGAAATCCACACGACTCCCCCGTAAAGAAGCACGTCGTGGAATATATTCAGGTAAACATTTTGACGATGCTCTAAAAGTATAGGTTGTGCTTTGATGCTTCTTTGCGAAAAAGAGGCTTAGCAGCACGTTTTTTACCTAATTGCATCTGCTGCAAGGACTAACGACCCAAATGTGGTCTTTTCGGGACTAACGTAGGCGTAGGCGAGCATTTTTTAGCCAGGTCATCAGATTCTGAAATGATCTTGGTTTTTTGGGCATGAGCTAGGTATAAAAGCTCTGGCCTAAATCTCGAGCGTAGATTCAAAATTTTTGCGCATGAACTAGGTTTAAAAGCCTTCAGCGTAGGTTCAAAATTCCTGTGCTTTCAGCGTCATCAATTTTCAGCGCGCCCTCACTGAATTCCAAGTAGCCCTTTGAAAGTGTCTACGTTTTTCTGTTTTCACTGAATTTCAATAAATCCCAAAAGGCGGTTTATAGACGTTTGACACGAAGAAGGACCCGAATGCCGACGAGTTTTTGAGGGGCACAACGCTGGCGACGTATGTGCGGTTGAACGACAGCTTACGGTGGGTTATTTTGATGTTTTTTTTAAAGATTAAAGGTATCGAAATCATGTGCAATATTCCATAAAGGCGCAAATAGCTACCTAACACGCCCCTCGTTTGTATAAAATATGCTGAAGTATTTTATTTTTTCAAATTATTGAGAAGCGGCTTTCGTTCATGTCATTATTCCCGAATAGACTTTACCATTTGAACCTAATTTGATCAAAAAAATGTTTGAACTTGAAAACATCAACAAATCTGAGTTTTGAGGTCTTGAGCGCCATTAATGCGTAAATCGATACATTTTAGTTTCCTTAGTGGTTTCTTACGATTGTTGAACAGAAACCCCCGAAAACAACGCGCTATTCCATGGCATTTATGCGCCATTTGATACCCCAGGTTCTTTTCAAATACTTAGAACATCTCCGAACTTCCAAACTAATACTTTTGTTCACGATTTGTGCCACCCGGGCTTCCGTAATAAACAATTCGCGCTTCCGAGAAATATTGCCACCTGGCCGGTGGGGTGGCTGGAATAGCCACCGACAGCGCCATGAGGCTCATTAGTACACCACCCGGCCGCCATTTTCTATGCATTTCCCGTGACAGAACAATTATTTTTCACGCTACGGATGATGCTACGGATATTTGGGGTGATACGGAAGTAAGGATTATCTTGGAAATTGCAAATTTTGACTTACAAAGATTTAGATGGGTTAGGCTTGGGCCTGGACTTAAGCTTGGCCCTGGGCTTTGGCTTCGGCTTACACCTACGCTTAGGTTTAGGCTTATGTTAGGTTTAGGCTTAGGGAACATTAGGCTTCGGTCTAGGCTTAGGCCTCGATCTAGGCTTAGGTTAGGCTTAGGCCTAAGCTCAAGTCAAAAATTTCCGATGAGATCACCCTCCAAATATAGAAATTTTTGACGTACCTCCCCTCTTCTCAAAGAATTTTCATGCGCAAGTAGCAGCAAAAAAGCGAGGCAAACTGCAGCCCGGTGTCAGGTCCATTTTAACTCATCGCCCGAAAAGATCGAGACCTCCGATAATAAACCGGGCAGTTTTCAGGCTACACGAGGAGCAGTTTCGGAAGAAGCTGACCTTCGAGTTCTCGACGTCGGGTGAGTCGATTTTTGATGAATTGTTGCTCGATATTGGGGCGGAGAAATGGTACGATGACGGTGTTTCGCCATGCTAATGGCCTTGGCATTTTGGGTACGGGGATGCGAAAATGCAGAATTTGAAGCCTCGGTTACCACAAGCTTTTCCCCAAATTTTCATTCTTTTTGTCTCCCTGCTCTGGCCCTTTAAAAATCTAATTCTAGCAAAGCCGGATGCTCAAGAAAACCCAAGACTCCTCCAAATTTAATTCGGTTTTTTTTGGCTTTCCAGTTACCTTTCAAAAACCTATAAACCTTTAAAAAAATCTGAATTTAGAGAATCCAAAGCTAGACCGTGTTCAAATTTTCTTGCATTTTCCTGCTTTCGCTGGCCCTTGAAAAACGCTTACGACTCAAGAAACTTATTCAAACTCTAAGTAAACCTAACCTAAGCTTCGAAAAGCAGCCATCTCCCTCCCCGGCACGTCAATTTATGATCCATTACGAGGTTGAAATGGTGGCTGGGGGGGGGAAGAGCACGAGATGGGTTAGAAAGACCTTGAAGCCGCCCGTGATTCTGTCCGTCCCTTTGGGTTCCTTATCACCCCCTCACTTTTCCGCCCGTTTCGCGTGCGGGCGCGGGTTTCGAGAGCCCGCGACTACGAGAAGCTTTTTTCTAGCTTTGCGGCTTTTTGGATTTTAACCTAAGAAGCGTAATTCAATTTTTAAAGGGACTAGGATGGTAGAATCTAGAGATCTGAATATCTCTAAAATCGCTTCTGGCAAGAACTCGAACACGCACCACTCTTTGTCACCACCCGTTTAAACAGTCGTGTTCAAGGCTGAAATAAATCGAGTTTTGAGCATGAAACCTCAAGCTCCAAACTCATTCTCTCTTTATCGAAGCCAGTTTGGTGTTGAGCAGCTTTGAAAAAAGCATTACTTTAGCTGTCACGCTTCCTCTAATAATCGTCGCATCTCGAACCTCAAGCTTTAAGCCTCGAGCTCAAAACTCATTCTCTCCTGATCATGAAGCCAGCGCGATGGCTTAACGCATTTTTCGAAAAGGGTTAGTTTAGCTGTCTTTATCCCCTTAAAAAGTCGTGTTCAAGTCTCGGGTATACGGCATTGAGCATAAACCTCAAGCTCAAAACTCATTCTCCCCGTATCATGCCAAACCCGAGGTGATGGCTGCCACCGTTGCCCCCGATGCCATGCGTGTATTCATCGGCTGTGCTCCCCGTTCGCCCTTTTGTCAGAACCCCCTCGTCTCGCCCCCCGATCGGTCCGTCATTTATTTCGGCAGCAGCAACAGCAGCCATTTCACGCCCAACACTCTCGACCCCCGTCCCCATCGCCTCGCCTATTGCCTGCTATGGAACACACGCGGCGCAAAAGGGGCGAGAACCGATATTATTGACCACGATCCAGCCGATCGGGGCGCATACAACGGCCTGGGACTCACATAACAAGAAATTGTTAGACGGGCCCTTTTTGGTCACCACTTCCTTCCGGGACCTAGATTTTTGCAAATTTGGTATTTTTTCATGGTCTACAAGACTGACAACCATTTTTTCACAAAACTTCAAATTTTAAGTAAAAAATCTGTAGGCGTTTTGTGATACGTTTTTTGATGTTAGGGTGTATGTGGTTTTTGGCGTTTTCCGTATAGTTAAATTTGTTTAGTTCTGCAGAATACATCAAATTCGCCGAAAAATCGGAAATTCTCTACCCTAGAAAGCTGAATTTTTGCATTCGTAGCTCCCCTTGAAAAGCGCAGAATCATAAAATTTCACATTTTTTGTTAATTTTAAAGATTAGTTCAGGTATTTTATCTGTAATACTTCTCGAATTTCCAAAAAAAAAGATATGAAATATTGAATTTGCCGCTATATCGATATTTTTGTTTTTTTTGGTAAGTGCGCGAATCCCGCAAAACTCCTATTTTTCTGGATTTTTAAAACCATCTATAGTTTTAATGGAGCATTTTATCAAAAAGAGGGCATTCAGGAACGACGCGCTGTTTTTGGGAATTTCGGCCTTCCATTACTGCTTTCATCTAGCAAACGTGCTTTTCTGATCATCTACTGGCTTCTTGGTGGTCATTTTCACTTCACAGCGACTTTAAAATTTTTCACCCAGGGGTATTCCTTGCTTTCCCATGCAAAATCATCCCTCACTGACACGCCACCCAGTGATTTTCGGCAATTTTCGACAATTCTCGGGGACAACCCAGCGGCATCTCACCCTTTTGTTGAGAATATCCAGTCACGCCATTTTCGTCCTCATTTTTGGCCGCGATTTTGATCTCCCCCAGAAAAACCCTTGGAACCCAGGGCGCAACATTCGAGCCTTGAGCCTCGAGCCTAATTCGCGTGGCCTCCAATTTCGAACGGTTGTAGAGGGTGCTAAATAGAGTCTAGTCTTGGCGTAACGAGAGCAGGAGATCTTTGATTTGCATTGGTCAGCTAAAGGGGCCCGATCTTCACCTTGATGCTCCTCTTAAAATTACCAGATTGAAATCGGTTCTGTCACTCACGTTCAGGCTTCAAGCTTCAAGTTAGCTACCTCCCAGCTGCTTCAAGCTCCCAGCTTCAACAAGAAAAAATAATAATCAACCTTTGTAAAACTGCCGGTCAAGGTCGGATTTTGGCCCTCATAGTCGCTTGAAAAAAATAATTAGTATTGGACTTCTGTGTTTCTATGATCAGCTACATCTATCCCGGCAAATCTTTTTTGAGCTCCTAGCTCCCGGCTCCAGTTCTCAAACTGAATTTCTCAAGCGCTGCTGCGCTAGTCTCAGGCCCCAGCCTCTCTAGTTCCTTTAGGTAACCTAGTATTTTCTGTAACTAATGCTGATAGTTTCCATCTTAAGGTTGTTTTCCGTCTAAATCTCATCATCCTCTCTCTCCCTCTCCCTCTCTCTGTGCACTAACGCATTCCAGACCCATTTATGTCCCCGGACCAACACCCCTGGTGGCTAAATGGTGCTCCAAGTCGATACGAGCTGCCTAGCCGTGCCGTTTGAGTGGTATGTCTACCATGTACCCGCAGGTGAGAAAGTTCCAGCCCAGCTTCTCGTGATTTCAGCCCCCCTGGACATCAGGTGGCCCCTTATAAAAACCCAAATTCCCTAGGTCTAATGGGGGAACATCGTCATTCGTACCGTCGCGTCGCGACCCTAAGAAAAATCATCTGCCCGATAAATGTCAATATTTTCGTTAAACTTCAGGCATTTCCACGACCCAGGCCGACTTCTCGAACTTGGCCGAGTTGCTGCAGAGCTGTGCGGATTTGACGAAGATCCGGCTGCCGACAAAGTTCCAGGATCAGGGAGAGGTGATTTTCAGGAATTTCATCTCGAATTTTCGGAATTTGAAAAATGACGTTTTGAAAACTAATTTTTCAAAGTCATGTATTCCGAAAGTAAACCGTGCGTTCCAAATCCAATTCACCAAGCATCACCAAAATTGTCATGCAAAATTTTCAAAATTGGTTTTCGAAAACTACGAGCTCAAATTTTGACTTTTCGAACGAATTTGCCTTTTCGCTGAAAAATTCTTGAAAAACTCTCAAAAAATCGGCGGCATCGGCCCATTTTTTATAAAATTCTGAAATTCTAGTTGGGGCACGAATGTGCGTGCTGTATTTTTCTTCAATTTTTTCAGTTTCTAAATTTCTCACGGTTCAGGGCTGTCACGCCCGAAAAATTTGTAGTAAGCCTCAAAGCTCTAATTCGATGGTATTCACACTCAAAAACGGATTTTCTAAAAATTACTATATATAAAATCTGCGTGCTATTCTCTAAGCTTCTAAATGCCCGAAAACGTTGCGTAGCGTCGCGTAGCCCGCTTCGGGGTCTTTTTTGGCGGTTGTTGTGGGAAAAAATAAGACAACGCATAGTTACACTCCTGTCTTCACGCCCAAAAAGGTCCACAAATTGCTCATCAAGTTTCCATAAAAAGGTTAAACGCAATACATTGCGCGTACGCCGTAGCTCTGCGTAGCTTGCGTAACGTTGCGTATTATCACATAGCTAACTTCACAACCCCAGCAAGCTGGCCATTTTCGCGGTAGGCAATAAACACTACGTAGCGCTCCCCCTAACGAGCTGATAAGCTTTTTACGCCCCAAGCTAAGCGGATTAGCAATCAACGACCAATAAAAAATTTCCCGGAGAAGCTAATCCCTAAAAAAAACTATCAAATGAATAATAAGCTAAAAATTCAATAAATAAAAAATTGCAGCAAAAATCGATCACCTACCCGGAGCGGAAAGCGATTGGGGCGCCGAAGGTCGTGCTGGAATGCTTGGATGTGACTGAATATCTTGTGCTCAAGGAGAGGGATGCCGCCGTCAGGCCCAGCGAGGTAGACGTGCTAAAATGAATTTCGTCGTTTACTGTCACAGCGCGTTTAAAATTTATTTTCCCGAACCCTAACTGCTAGTTTGTCCTTGCCGAGGCGGAAAAATTAAGCCTTCATTGTTACGGGACCTCTAGAACTGATCTTCCCAACTTTTCTCTGCTAGGTTGCCCTAATTAAAGGGATACCCAAGGTTTTGGCGGCAAATATTGTTATGATTCCGGGCAGTACAATTTGGCGCTCGAATTTGTGCGGGTAATAAGGGCCCCAAAGGCATAGAATTCGGCCACCTTTCCCTCTTTTGGCCCCCCCATCCCATCGAATGGCCTGCCACTAGGAATAAAGATAGCATCCAGCCCTACAAGACCGGGGTCCGTCCCGCCCGCTGCATGGTCTTTGCTTTTTGAGCCGCGAAAAGGTTGGGCATCCCTTTAAAGCAGCGAAAGATAGTTCTTCAGCTTTTTCAAATGCCGCTGGTTGAAATTTGGGGGGCCTAGAAGCGTTACTATCACAGCACCTTTAAAATCCATCTTCTGCAAATGGTCACCGCTAGCTACCCTTCGGTTAAGAGGGTCACTGCTAGCTATCCTTCAGTTAAAAGGAACTTAAACTGTCACCCCACCCTTAAAACCGCTTTCCTAAAAACGATCATCACCTTACAGGGCACGTAATTAAGGCGTAACACGTAGTTTTGAAGCCTGCAGCCAGGTGCATCTAAAAAATCACGAATCCAAAAAGCTCTCTGCGCTCTACCATTCGTTAATTGAATGTTCCAGATTCGGGGTGGTCCCATCGATGCCCTGATCGTGTTCGCCACCCAGACCACCGGATCTCTCTTGTACCAAGAAGCCTTTCTCTCCACCTACCGTACTTTCGTGACGTCCCATGATCTCCTGCAGCACCTTACGCATCGGTAGGTACTTAGAGAGCGAAATAGAGAGAGAAGAGAGAGAGAGAGAGAGCGAGAGTTCGAGAGAGATCAACTCAATTTCAGCTACGTGTACATGGCCCTCTCGCCAGAAGCGTCCTCCCAGAAAGCAGCCCGCTTGACCTTCTCCGTGATCGTGCGGGTGGTAGATGAGCTCTGCGCTGTTGAGCTGAATCGTGATCTCGTCTCCATCGTTACGAACTTTGTCTATCGACTGATTCGTGATGGGAACTTCCAGCTAGCCAGATTATTGAGGTGAGGAGAGAGGGAGAGAGAGAGAGAAAAAGAGAGAGAAATAGAGAGATAGAGAGCAAGAGAGATTATGATTGTCACCTCGTGTCGCCCATCTATCGACTTACCCTTGCACGATCGCCGACTTTCACTGCATTTTTGGATATCCTCCTTTCCTTTCTTTCCTTCCCCAGCCATTTGCAGCGCGTAACAGCCTCAATCTGTCAAAGTGGCGGTTCAGCCGTGTAGAAGGGGAATGACAAAAGATTGTCAGAACCCCAGAGGGGAATCACAAGGTGATGGGGTGATGGTTGTCAGGAAAATCGGGAGAAAGCTTAAATCTAAACTTAAGCCCACGCCTAACCTAAGCTGAAGCCTAAGCTTAGGCTAGGCGATGCCTAAGCCTAAATCTTAAACTATGCCTATGAGCTGCCAAAGCCAAATACGACGTTAGTTTTCCTTTTTTAGAACCCGCCTCATCGAGCGCATCGAGTCCAGCGCGGCCTCCAAACAACCAAGCATCCATTTGGAACGGATATCAAAGAAGTACGCAATTTTTCTAAAGAATTAATTCTTTCTTTTTTAGGCCCGAATCCATCCTCGACTTCCGCTCCCAGGCCGTCGCCCAGCAATTCACAGTGCTTGACCAGAAGCTGTTCCAAGCCATCGAACCGGCCGAGTTTTTGTGGTGGGCCGAGGCTCAGGACGAGAAACGGTGCCCGAATCTGGTCGCATTTACCGAGCAGTTTAATAAGGTAATCGTTAAAGCCAGGGCGTACTCCTTCAAAACCGTGATCAGAAATCTGCCTGAGGTAGAAGCAACAATAATTATACCTTTTTCAGATGTCCTACTGGGTCCGAACTGTAGTCCTGACTCCGAAGGAACACCGAGAACGTGAAAAGTACATGAACAAGTTTGTCAAGATCATGAAGGTAGGTCTAGATGACGAAATCGGGATCATTACATACGTTTAGCAACTCCGACGACTCGGGAACTTCAATGCGTACCTAGCCATCCTGTCAGCTTTGGATTCCGGGCCTGTACGACGACTTGACTGGGGTCGTGCTGCTACTGAACAGCTAAAGGTCAGAATTTAGCAAAGATTGGGCTTAGGTTTAGGCTTAGCCTTAGCCTTGAGCTTGAACTTAAGTTAATTTTAGGCGTAGGCTTGGGCTTACCCTTGTCCTGCCCTTTAATGCTCCATTTTTCAGGAGCACGCCGTCATCATGGAGTCCACCGGTTCGTTCAAGGTCTACCGTAGCGCCCTGGTTGAGACACCACCACCATGTATCCCTTATGTGTAAGTTACGGTGTTCAAACGTCAAAGTTTTGGTTTAGCGGCCTGGTGCTGCAAGATCTGACTTTCGTCCACGTCGGGAACGTCAACTACCTACAACCGGAAACTGTAGGAGGGCGCAAGGACTTGCTCAACTTTGGCAAGCGGTGGCAACAGTTTGCAATCTTGGACTCGATTCGGAAGTTGAAGAAATGGTAAGTGATTGATTTTGAAGCTTAGACCTAGGCGTGGGCTGAATCACACCTTACTACGTTACATGACTCTTTCCAGGAACTACTCCTTCCAACGCGACGACCGCATCATGGCCGCGTTCAACAACTTTGCCTCCCTGACCGAGGACGCCACCTGGGAACTTTCCGAAAGCATTAAGCCGCGTCAGAGGCGAAATCCTTGAGCACAAATTTTTGTTTTACTTTTGTAGTTTAGATTCTATTTTATTTTCCGGTGATCCCTATTTTAACGTTTTAATGTAAATATTCCCCTTTGTCTCGGCTACGCATCCATGCAGATACCGGTCACCAGCCCCTAATTTAACGAACCAAGCCGAAGCCTAAGCCTAAGCATATGCTGAAGCCCAAACCTAACCAATCTTTTTGCAGTATCCACTACCCTTTCTATCGTTTATTATATTATTTTGTGCATTTAGTACACAACCACCCGAAACTAGTCACCACCCGCCCACAAAAGCCCTAGTCTTGCAGAGCATTTTCTGATGAATTTTTCCGTGCGTTTCTGCTTGTTTTTGAGACTTTGTTGTGAATTTTTGCATGCGCTGTTAATTCCGCTTACGTGACCAACTCTCGAACTTATATATCCCTTTCTTAATTTTTTCGCTCTTCTCTTCCCTTGCATCGAAATGGGTCCAATCTTTTTTCTAGTAGTCGAACCTTCTTCTTGAGAGTACGAATTTTACGTCGGCATAATATTTGCATCAAAGCACCTTTTTTGATGACGTCTATAAATGTTCTAATGTTTCCAAAAGAATACAAGCATTGGGGAAAGAAGAGACGAGTGAGAGAGTGTGATAGAGGTAGAGAAATAGAGAGAGATAGAGATAGAGTGATCGACAGAGAGAGAAATAGAGACAGAGGGACAGCGATAGAGAGAGCGATTACAGAGCGAGTAACTTCCGGCGGACCGTTAAAGAGACCAAAAAACACCCATGAACTTTATTAAATCGTCATTTTAGAGCCAAATACACTTTTTGCCAGGTTTTTGAAGCCGACTTAGCCAAGACCAAGAGTGAATCGGTGAAGTCCCTTCAGGTCTCGTGGTGAGCGCTTGTTGGACGATTCGTAGTTCCTAAACAGAACCACAACGGCTTGTTAGGCATAGGGTTAAAGGGGGGGGGGGGCGCTTCGGCTTCTTAGGTTTAGGCTTAGGCTTGGGCTTTTTTTTTTTTTTTTTTTGTGGTTGGGTTTTTAGGTCAAGGTTTTGCTTACCTGATTACCCAAGTCTGCGCGCCGCCTTCCGATTCACTCGACTCTAAAGGTGTTAGTAGGGTTAGTTATGGTTGGTGTGGTTAGTTTATTAACTAGCAAAAAAAGATATAACTATATACTAAATAGAAATCTATACTATAGCTAATTCAAATAAAAATTAATCTAATCCTTCTGATAGGCCTATATTAATTTTTATCGATGCCTTTAGCCATGCAGAAATTTGCTTTTTAGACTATTTCATGCTCAATTTTAAGCTTTCTTCATGCCAAAACATGCAAATTTTCTCTTACATCTCTTCGAAATACTTTGAGACACGGGTAACAAAAAATTTATTAGCCAGCAGCCTGAATTTTAAAGAAGGGGAGCGGAGATCAATAGTTAATATATGGCGAGCGAGAGAGCGTGTCGGGTCTGTAGAAAATCACTGCATTTCGTATTCTAATTTTTAAAATTGGGAATGAACTCTCAAGGGATACCATCATCGTACAGGGCGCTCCTCTTGCCGAAACCGAGGGAGAGTCGTGGGGCTGCAGCTCGCTTTCCGAAACCCATTGAGAACCGGGGAGGCTGAAAATTGAGATAAAGATGAAATTAAAGGACCAATGAAGGCAAGCTATTCATGGCTGGCCGCCAATTTGTCGAATCAGGGTTCTTTAAAGTCCCCGGAAAAAGATAATAAGAAAAATAAAAAAAGTCCGGTAGAAGCAGTTTTATTTATATTTCGAAATATATTTAAAATTTTTCGCCAAAATTATAATAGCTAAAACATTACGGCCTCCGATTTTGGCCAAGGCAAATTCAAAACATTTGCAATAATGTGCCGTGTTGCTCCAAAATTACCGTAATATAAAAAAATTATGGAATTATATGTCTTTTTCCCGCCGCTTCTTCATAACAAAATTACGATTCCCAGCTCGACCTTCACCACGGGACATAAAATGGCACATTTCGGCCAGACCGACCCCCCTTCATTCCCAGATACAAAATGGACTCGAAAATAGTAAACAGAGCCGACATGAAATGGTCATTACCCCTCGCTTCCATTCGGGCCCATAAACAAGGGCGTCATCCTCGGCCACGGCTCGTTTCCCTAAAAGAATGCCAAATTAATGGGGGTCTGGGAGGGTGGTACGGTGCCTGAGAGACGGCTCTGGAGGGCACTGTTTAGCAATTGACGGCCTAGGAGCAGTCTCAAAAATGGGGAACGCTTGGCGGTGGGCTCGGCGAGTGGTGACGCTTCTGAGGACCGGAATTTCGAAGGCTAAGTTTTCTTTGGAAACTAAGGGAGGAAGCAGCGAAAAGTGCAAAAAATGAAGTGCTAAAGCCACGTGCCGGGAGGGTGCGTCATAAAATAAAGTGTCAAAATATTGGGTAGCTAGAATAGATTTTCCAAGCTCCCCCTCCTCCTCTCCTCTCTCTCCCTCCCTCTTCCCTCTCTCTCTCTCTCTCTCTCTCTCGCCCCAACCCCCTTCCAACTGGTGCTTGACCCAAGTATAACCCTAAATCTCGCTCTCTCTTTCGCAGTCGTGCTCTCTCGCTCATTCTTTCTCTCTCGCCGCTCTCTCTCTCTCTCTCTCTCTCTCTCTCTCTCTCTCTCTCCCTCTCTGATTAGCCATCTGAAGCTTGGTGCCACCATCCCTTTAAGGAAACGAAGAAGACCAATAGAGAATTTTTTGAGAACTTGTCCAAAATCCGTCCCAGACTACCGTATTCCAGTCAGACAACTGCCTTTCTAGTCCCTTTAACCCCAAGCAACTAAAATCTACAGCACCCACCGAATCCAAGGACGATCCCCCGTGCCGGGACGCATTCAGCGAGTGCCAACAGAACACCGAGAAGTCCAATGACGATGGCCCACGAGCGCATGGTAGCTGGAGTGACGGGTTACCTAAAGGTATCGCATTATATTGATGAAATCATCTTAATTTATCAAAAAAAATCGAAAATCGAGGTTAAACCGAAGTAACAGAATTTGAATCAAAAATTCAAGTCAATGAAGATTCACGGGAAGGCAAAAATCCGCTAAAAATAATTTCTTAGCATTCGTTTAACAATCAGGTATTGAGGTTTCAAAGCCGGAATGCAAAGTAAAAGTGGTGGAGAAATTGTTTGAGCACAAATAAAGGGAGATCCCATCGAAATTAGGCGGTTTTCTTGGGAATTTGGGAGCTGGATGGCCTTGGGTGTCCTGGGCCGCTTTCTTGAATGTGCTGAATCCGGAAGTGGGGTCTGGCTGAGAAGATGGAGTAGCGAGTTTACTGTTATTCAGATGCGACTTTTGGCCGGGAATTTGGATTTGGTTAAATGGGATCCAGGGTGACGCGAAGGTGTACTTGGGTTGTTCTAGTTTGGCGGTTTGAATTAGACAAAAAATCATCTTGAAATTATTCAAATGAGGCTCAAAATCTCAATCAGAAAAGCATGAACTTTGGGCCAGGTCTCTACAGAAGTATCTTCGAAGTTATTTATCCCACTAACCACACTTGAAAGGACTAGGAAGCACCGGAATCCCCTTGACGTCGACTAGATCTCGACAGCTACGCACAATCTCAAAAGGTCAATTGTTGCAAATCCACGACTTAATGAGCTATTTAGTGTGTCGCGTAGCTGTTGACAGCTAGTCGAGGTGAAGGGTCGATTATGGTGTTTTCTAAGCAGCTTCAGATAATTTTCGCGGCGAAAAATTGGTTTGATGTAATTTAATGTATCACTCGAAGCTTCGGAAAAAATTGGGCACAAAATATCACCAAAGATTCAACTGGGGCTGCGAACCTGACCTCCGGCTCCTTAAATTCCCAATCCCCACCCCCACGCGCTCGTCGAAAAACAATCTAACCCCAAACGTCAGAATCTCCCGACAGCAATTAGCATCCTGCGGGGACACGGAAATTTTCGGTGGGCTTCTGGTCAGGATGTGGGATAAGAGGGGGCGGTGTATGCCACCGCCCCAACCCTTCCATATCCCCTTAAAAAGCCTTTCCCTCGATTCTCATTTTACAGTGCATTTCGTCTGGGGAGGACGAGGGGCTTTTGGTTGGAATGGGGGAGGAGATGCCTTTTCTTCGGCTTCCCGCTTTTTTCCTTAAGATGGAACGAATGGGACGCCCAGGGGGGATGAGCTCACGCGGGCTATAGGCAGGATGAATCTCACTTTCAAAATTTCTATACGAAGTACGAGCTATTTTTTCGTGGGGGTGTGACTACTATAAGAGCTTTGCAAGCCGAGCTTGGAGCTTGGATAGTAGTGGGAATTTGGCTGAATCAAAATAGTTACAAATATCTCACTTGAATACGTGGATTTACGGGAAGGGCAGAACTTTGATGATTTACAAGCCTGGAGAGCTAGAAGAGACCATCTCTGAGGTCGTAACAGTTTTTTGAAAGATAAAACACATGTCTTGGGCAAGCCAGAGAAAATTAACTGAAAAAAAACCCAAAAAAGAGCAAAGCACATAGCCAGAAATATGAGGCTCCAAATGCTGAAAAACGCTCTGACTAGCTTTAGCAATTCAGCACCGACCCCTCGCAAGCACCTAATGAAAGACCGAGGATAAAGCCGGAAGTCTGAAGATGAGGAAGGGATCAAATGGCCTTGAAAGGGGGGTGGTGAGAGAAAGTAAGTGCGTAGGGTATTTTCGCATATTTGGGCACACGAATTCAGAGTGACTTCTCTGTGCCCACAAATTCTTTCAACGACCGAATTTCCGAAAGGCGCTAATTTTCCCAAAAACTTGTAATTCTGGTTTCTGAATCAATTTCCGGCCTCAGCGTAAAAACTAGTCGAAAGAGCACAAATGAAAGAAGTTTCCGGATTACGGGAATTTGGATTAAAGGCGAGGCGAAGTAAGTGGGAATTTCGGACTTTTTCCCCGACAAGAAGAATTTCTCAGGTGTTTGTATGCTGAGGCTTCTGGCCAGGCTATGCTTAGGCTTAGGCTTAGGCTTAGGCTTAGGCTTAGGCTTAGGCTTAGGCTTAGGCTTAGGCTTAGGCTTAGGCTTAGGCTTAGGCTTAGGCTTAGGCTTAGGCTTAGGCTTAGGCTTAGGCTTAGGCTTAGGCTTAGGCTTAGGCTAGGCTAGGGCCTAGGGCTTGAAACTCGCCTAGTCATAGGTCTCCATACACCCCCGAAGTGGTCCAGACAGATAGCAAGTAGGTGACGCCCTAATGAACTCAGAAAGCACGAATTCGTCAGTCAGCAAAGCCTGGGCTTTCTACTCCGGAAGTCAAGCGATCAAGCCAATCCCAGAAAGTGTAAACCTCCATTTTTCACGCCGCGTCTGAGGCCCAAATTCGGTGGTGTGGTGTGGTGTGGGCGGCCACTCGGACCAGTTCGAATTCAACCTAATTAATTTCCCACGAATCCGTCAATACTACCCCGGCGGAGGCTAAAACGTCAGATCCGAAAAAATTAGGGTGGGAGATGGAAATGTTGCCTTCCGGGGATATTTTTGTGTTGATCTTTGGCTGCTAAAAATTGGAGCCGTCTGGCACTATCCCTCTAAAATGGCGGGATTTTTTTATCACCGATGATGCCTGAAAAAACGTACTTTAACTTACGCATGGAAATCAATAGAACATGATGATAGGACGGAAAATTAATGGTTCAACTTTGATGCAGGACCGAGCAGTAAAATCGCATAATTTTTTTGAAGTAAATTGTAAAATAACTATGTGACAGCAAGTAATTTTAAATATCCAGAGTTTTAACGTATCTTTAAATTAAAACTATAGCTATACTTATTAGTCTCAAAAATTCCAATGCTCTGACTAACATATGACAAAATGTGTTTTGAAATCGAGGCACAGGGTTGAGGGCTGAAAAGTGTAGTGTAGCAATGGTAAAAATCTCAATGAAAAAGCCTAGGCGAGCCACAGAAACACCAAAAAAATTCTGACGCTCCACCACTTGTTACACTTATGCCTATTTCTTTCGCGACCCAAATTTCCGATTCCTCGCAAAAAAGGTCTGTTATGTGCATTGGCCGGGGGTGAGGGTATAATGTCGCCTCCTGCACAAATTGTGAAATTTCGAGAGGCCGGGGATGCGGGCATTTGAATAGGCACTAAAAACAACCAGGCCGTGCCGTCTATTTCGGTTTGTAGTCTTGGAATCAAGAGTCTAACTCAAGGCACGATGTCAGATTTTTCAAAATCGGATTTCTGAAGATGACCGTTTATAAAGTAGCTTTTTCGGATTTGCTATCATAACGTTGAAGTTTCTTAAGGCCGAAATCATCATGTCGAAAAATTTTTGCATAAGGTTAGCGGATTTTTCCGGAAAATTTGCCTTTTCGACATGACGAATTTTCGACATTATGAATTTCGGCATTCTCAAAGAAGCCCTTTTTCTAGCGGTAGCTGGTTGAATGTTTTTCGATGTTCTGATTTTCTACAAATATAAAACTTTGCAGTCTTCACCTTCGAAAAAAGTGGCTTACCAAAACATATCTTGCTCAAAAACGAGTACCTAGTCCGCCGCACTACAATGGCCAATTGGCCGCTTGAACCTGGCCGAGATGGGCCCCGGAATTGGGCAATGTATCACAAAAAGCGGCAAGCCAAAAGCCTGCGAAATTGCAGCATTTGTCATTTGTTGGAATGCGTAGATGTGGTCTAAATTCAGCAGTCGAGGGCCCGTAAATTTTGGAATGGGTGTGTGGGATGAGAAATGAGGATTTCGGGCAACCGAAATTTGCTTGCTGACGTAAATAAAAGCGTCGAAAGAGTGGTGTGTAACCGTAGTATTCTTCTACATTTTGGCCTCCTCAGAAAAACGTAATAAATTTTATAAGCGATCACAAAATTTTAGACACCATATATTTGTTAAAGTAATTCTAGAGACCTCCCGGAAACACGAAAATACGTGAGATCGATTAAGCCGGTTCCCTTAACGTTTGTACGTAAAAAAATCTCGAGCGTATTGCGGAATGCCGTGTAGCTGTCGAGACCTAGTCGACCAACGCATGGATACTGGCGTTTCCTAGCCCCTTTAATACGCCCGCAGAACGGCTGCCAGCTCGAAAGCGACGGCCAATAAATGTGTCGAGGTCCATCCCTCTAAAATTCTTCCCCCCTGCACACCCCATGTCGTTAAAGAAACGATTTTCGGATGTAGGCCAATTCCGGGGGCTGCACCTGCATAAACAAGTAACAAGAGAATTGGGTTGCTTGAATGGGTGGCGAATTGCTAAACAGAGGGGTAAAAGCGGGGGAACTGGGTAAGGCGAGCTAGCAGAGATCATTAAGAAATCCTGACGGCTCGTTTGTGAGATAATAGGGCTGAAAATGAAGTCGTCAGGAAAGGAGGAGCCTGGGAAAGCAATGACAATGCGCGTCAGAGCAGAGCATAATAATAATGAAAGCAACAATCTAAGTAGCGAAATATTATGATAAAGTCTTCCAACAATATTTTCAGGGCCGCGCGAACGCAGCCCTTGACTCAAAAATTTAGCTGTAGGCGAACCCCAACTCGGAGCTGCCTTACAGGTCAGCCCGGCCGAGAAGTGCAATGGCCAAGCCTCGCCATAGGGGTCCCGTCTTGATGATCACGGGAACCCCCCAGCCAGGTAAGTTTATGAACGGATGGTGGAGGGCAGGTATCCACAGGGGGTGGGCCAGGTGGGAGGCGAGTGGGGGACAGCAGTTCTCTTGCTTGCTGCACTAGATACCCAGCCGATAGACGCAAATTTGAATTTAAGGGTTTGGAGAGCTCATTTAGGAAAAGCCGTGCAAACGTTTAATAACTGAATACTTCAACATTTTTTACGCAGATTCCGGTTGCGCCAGACGACACGTTGCCACGATCCTAGCGCCACCCTCAGAATCCCCAATCGCCCCCGGCAACAATATTTGAATTTCAAATTGTTGGGTTGAATTCTTGACTGCAAATTTCGGATCTGCGGCACGGCTTTTCGTGCATTCTTTTCCGTAAATCCGGGCTCTGAATCTGTCTCGCTGTAGCTGGGAGTCCACGGATGTCGTCAGCGGGGGTGGGAGACTACAATAAAACGCGTGGGAGCCATTACGATTTTTTGAGTGGGGAGAAATTGGAGCCTTGAATGGGGAAAAATCAGGGAAAATGGAAGTATTGGCATTTAGTGGATTCAATTGTTTGTTTTTTAAGTTGGAGTAAATTGGGAAAAACCAATGTTCAAAGTGGGTATAGCAAGTCCATTTTACCTCAATTTTCGCGCCTTGCAAATCTATATTTTAATTTAGCACATGCAGTACGAAGCTCCTAAGATCCTAAAAGATTTGCTGGGAGCTTTTTTTGGGACGTTTCAAGGTATATTTTGTAGTTTTCCCTGTATATGTATGGAAATTTTCAGAAAGAAAATTTTATTCAATTCATCCCGCATCATTTACATAATCAATTTTCTCTGGTTTCTCGACCGACCGAGCGTATTTCTGACGTAGTCCTCTTCATCTCGCGTCAAATCCAGGGCAGCTGCGATGGAGCCGACCAGTTCCCGCTTTTCGTAGTCATCACTAGAATTTTAGCAGCCATTAAAAGTACATTGATAAACGTACATTATTGTAAAAAGTAAACTGTCGTATATTTTTTACTTACCTGGTAATATACCGCAACACCGCCTGCTTTTTCCGGTGTTCGAGGGCGCTGCGTTCCGAGCTGTCCAGGCTTTCACCACTGCTAAAAACCGGGAATCATTAGCGGGAGAGTGAGAGAGCGAGAGAGAAGCTAGAGAGCGAGAGAGTGTGGGTAATTCGCTAAATTACATACCTCCCAGCTCCCCGATGAGCGAAACCCTGTTGGCGTCGGAGTTCGTGAATCATCTGCTGCTGCGTGTGCAGCATGACCTCACGCTCACGGACCGCGTTCTCCAACAGGAGAACACGGCGCTCCCACTGAAAAATATAGCTGATTAGAGAGAGAGAGAGAGAGAGAGAGAGAGAGAGAGAGAGAGAGAGGGAGAGAGGGAGAGGGAATGTTTCTATTAACATACCTTGTCAACTAGGGCGGTCACCGAAGAAGTATTCAAAATCTCCTTCTGTTTGTCGAGTGCTCGTTGCACGTCTTCTAACTCCATTTGGAGCGTGAATTCCTAGATTGTATGTAAAAAAACGTATAGAAGATCCTGCTTTTTGCATAAATTCTCCTCTAGTCGCCTCGACCCTCCTCTTCAGATCATCGAGCTCATTATAAAGACGGTCCTTCTCATTTTCCGCCTCGATTCGACCGTCTTTTTCTCGATCCAGCTCTTCTCTAAATGATTCAAAGCTAATATTCTACTTAAATTTATGCTTGCCTCATTTGCTCAATAATCTCGTGCTGCCGATCGATGCTGGTTTTGTGCTGGTCGACATTTTTGCTATAAAAATGGTATAACCTTTTCAACCTCAGCATTATTGTATTAAAAATTCTTTAATTGATGCTTACTTTAGTCGCTCCGTGACGGTAGTTTTATCTTCCAGCTCTTTCGTTAGTGTTAAAATCTCCTTCTTTTTATCGTGCACCATCTGGATCAACTCTTCGATCTGGTGCGTCATTGTGGAGTATTGCTAAAATTTGCTGAAACCGCAAAAAATGAAGCTTTACTTGTTCATTCTCCACATCAGCCTGATCCACATACGCATTTGCATCGGCTAGTTGTTTCTTTAATTTTTCATTTTCTTCCAGGAGGTTCTGAAATGGGTTGTAAAGCTATAGGTATACGTAGCATCTTTCAATCTTCTGCTCTCTTTCTCTCTCTCTTTCTCTGTCTCTCTTCGCTTAACCGTATCCTCCTTCTAAGCATACCTTAACAGCATCATCCCCTCCCGTCAACTGCTCAATCTGTGCCTTCAATCGAGCGTTTTCCTCCGTCAATTTGTTGTTCCTTTCCACTTGCTCGATATCTTGTCGGGGTACCGCGGTAAAGGAGCGGCTCATCGAGAGGTCGCTCTGAAAAACGCGCCGGAATATTTGCCCTGATCGCTGGTCAACATCGATTACTCAGCAAAGATTTTGGGAAGCTTTTCCGGATGGTTTTGCAGGAATTTACATCAAAATATTGCTTAGCTAGCTTGGCCGGTGCGGGGCTAGGCCGCGCTTTTGGCGCTTGTTGGTTAGGCTTAGGCTTCGCTTAGGCTTAGGCTTAGGCTTAGGCTTAGGCTTAGGCTTGGGCCTGGGCTTTCTACTCCATTTTCATTTTCCTCAGCCTATCAAGAAAATGACCAACCTCCCAACCATCCAGATTCGACTTGGTCTCGCAGCGGGACGTCTCGGCTCTGAAATTATCGATTTTTCGAGTCTTTCGTGTTTTTGAATTTTTCGTCGCTCATTTTCCGGTCAGAATTGCGCGAAGCCACCCCACGTACGTGTCCCCCTATCTGTCTCTTCTTCTTTGCTTCTTTTTTCTGTGTGTGGGTGTGCATGTGTCCTCGCAACAAAAAATGCGTGGCTTGTTGACAAAAGGGCTTAACACCGGAAGAGGCCCTGTCGGAATTCGGGTCTCACCTGGTGGTGGCCCCGAGAAAATAGGTCGTGTTTTTGATCGAGGATTGGGATTGCGCTGTTGGGGCTTGAGTTTTGATTTCCGGTCGTGTAGTGGTTTTGAAAAATTAATAGAACCAGAGACTGACTCGTTTTTTACGACTTTTTACTAGTGACAGCTTGTCAAACCCTGTATCTGACGAATCCCCATATTTTCTCTAGCCGGGAAAGAGCGAGCGAGAGAGAGAGAGAGAGCCGAAGAGCGAGAGAGAGAGAGAGAGAGAGAGAGAGAGAGAGAGAGAGGAAATAAACCCTCATAAAATCTGTCTGATTAATGTCCCATTGTCATTCTGCCTGATGCCTTCTAGTTTCTGATAAAAGTACTACTACTGACTAAGAACCGGATTTCCTACTAGAAGCATCTTCTGAAGCCCCGAAAAATAATTTTGATGCGAGATTACTGTTTCTTACATCATGGCTAATTATTTTCGAGTTCACGCAATATTTACCTACCCCCCATGACCCGTAAACGTGCAAAAAACACAGTTGAACTGGAATCAAGGGGCTCCCACGTTTTGGGTATGACTAACCATGTGGGCGAGATAGGGCAAAACGTTCAGCATGACTGATCAACCCCGAAAAACTGAACGGGGAACTGAACGAAAGAACCCACGGTTCGGCGTCGGAATCGGAGGTGGCCGGTTGCGGCAGCTCGTCATGCTTCCACTTTTCCGGGAGCGTCATTTCTGAAAAGGGTAGAGGTGGAAAATTACGAAAAAGCAGGGTGTAACGATTTAAAGGAGCATTGAAGACTATGATCTACAGAATTTTGATGGCTTCATAGTCCCTTTAACGAGGGCTAAAACCAAGTTCGTCTTCCGTAATAAGAACCTAAGATAAATGCATATGGATTCACGATACGCCCGTATTTGACACGTACCGAGACACGCAACTCTAGAACTACCGCTACACGCAACGTGAAAGGTAAGACGCAACGTAGGGCGACACGTAACGCGATGCACCAAGATACAAGCACGTAGGAGTTCAATGTATTACGCCATGAAAACAGGGAGTGCGCATTGTGGTTGTGGATCAGCAAAAGGTGGCCAGCCAAAGGGTAAAATGTATAGGTTATCGAAAAATTAGACAAAAGATTTTATAGTGGCTCCAATTAGAGCAATTCGAATGCTACAAAGTAAAAAACACAACATCAAAAACCCCTTCCCGACCTCAAAATTAGCAAGCATTGAAGTGGGCGGGAGGTGCTCGTCCAGTCAAGCAAAAACAGTACTATTTACTCAAAGCCCCCGGTCGGCGCGAGTTGCCGACCATCTGACTCGTAATTACTTAGCGAGCAGAGCAGCAGTACCGGAAAGATGCGAGAAAACCCGAGAAACTGGGAATCGCGGTAAAAGGAGCGGTTCCGAGGAGAAATTTCGGAACCCGACCCCACCCCGGAAAATGCACACCGGAATGCACTAATGGATCCCGAAATTTGGGCGGGTTTTTGGGTTTTTGGGGGATTTCTAAAAATAGTCTGGTTAACACGATTAGCATAGCGGGGTCAAGATTTGGAAGGAAGCCAGAACCGAAAAATTTGGTGAACTTTTAAATTTGGAACTGGAGAGAGAGAGAGAGGGAAAGTTTAAAAGTGAAACTACGCGAAAATCCCCATTTTTTTCATATAACCACACTCTCCTCCCACACCGATTCAACCCCCCCCACCCCCCTTCCCCACACCCCTCTTCGCGCGTAACTTATTCACCCCCACTTTTCTTCCCTCCATTCTCTAACTGACTTCTACCATCCCTCAGCCAACATCTTTTTCAGATTTCCCCAAAAACCCCAAAACAATATAAAAATTAAAATAGAACAAAAGTAGACAACATACTATCGTTTGTCCAACATCCAATTATTTTTCATATTTATAATCAATAATTCGAAATTTATATGTATTTCACCCCTCAAGGTTAAAATAAGACCCCCCAACCCAACAATTCAAAGCAAAAAAAAACTCGTCCATACCCATCCCCCCCCCCACCACCACCCTAGAAAGGGCCTGTAGGGCGACAGCATTTATACCTTTTTAGTGTTAATCTTCCTTCTTTGTTTTTCTTCAGTACGCTCCATCAAAACTTTCAAATCAGAATACCATTTCCGGTAATCTGGCGGCGTTTTCAAAAAGCACCTTCTCCTCACGTTCGCGGCGGCCCGGCAATTTGAGAACAGAAAAAAGCCCCGATAAGGTCATGGCAAATAAGCTTTTTGCTGGGAAGTGGAGCAGTTTTATTACTAGTTCAGTGGAGGGAGTGATGGGATTGGAAATTTGGAAAATTGGTGATACCTCTAAGTTCTGTTTTCGTGTGATATCATCAAAAAAACGTGCATTTTTGGGCTAAAAAGGCTCATTTCTTAAATGACAAAGCAAATAATCGAATTATAGTCTTCTGCAGTTAAATATTGCACCAATTCCATCGGTCACCAATATCGCGGCAGGCCCCTTCCCAAGAAATTTGAGAAAATACGATGTAGAAAATCCCATAGAAGCTTAATGACCCTAATCTTCGATCCGCTACCATTTGTTTTGGCAAATAAAAAAGCAATGCAACCTGGAAACGTGGGGGTGGGGAATCGTAAAAAGGGGCGCAGGATAGTGCACGAGGGGAAGGGAAGAGGGGAAGGAAGAGAATGGGGCACGCCCAGGACTGACACGAGACGAAACGTTGACTAGAGGGAGGTCATCAGGCTCGAGCCCCCGACGATTTGTCAGATATAAATGGATTATGTGTCAATGACACGGTCAGTAATCAGCCAAAAAAATAGTTATAAAGCCAATAATGATGGGCTTGGGCAGGGAAAATCGCATCTGCTTAAAGGAAAAAGAACATTCAACAGCCATATAAAAACATCGTATAGGGTGAATTTCGCTTCCGGAAGTCTCTTAAATTAGCGTAAAAATGCGCAAAAACTTAAATGATGGACATCAGCGCCCGGCAAATCGCTTTGGGTCTTTGCCAAATTCGAATGCCGGCGATTTTTTGCCCTCCGTGTATTTTTTAAATGAAAAAGGAGGGTAAGAAGAACCTAAGACCTGTACAATAAAAAATTAGCGATCGGTTCCCATCATTTATATATTTTAAACTTGGCATAAAAGGTAGTGCATTGACAAGCGAAACGTAGGCTTGAACATTGACTTAGGCTTAGGCTTAGGCTTAGGCATCGGCTTATGCTTAAGCTTAGGCTTAGGTGTCGATTGAGACATTGGCATACTCCCGTATTTGTAAGCAGACTTCGACGCTTGAAATCTAGGCCAGCCCACCCACAAATTATAGCCCAACCCAGTCATCTTCGCTTACGTTTCAACAGGTTTCCCCCGAAAATTACAGCTTCTGAAGACCCCAACGCAGTGAAAGCTCCGAAAACAGGCGGCGACGCGTAAATTTTTTGCCTGCGACCCGAAACGACCCAGGTTTAGCGGTTTTATGGAGGGGAAACTGAGGAGGCGGCTGCTGGCCGAGGGTAGGCGGGATTTTTCGCCCAATTTGCGATAAGATGGGTCGCTGGGGCAAGTGTCGGCGAAAATAGGCAGCTGCGACCTGTTTTTTCATCTGGCTTCACCGCGCCAGATCCAAAACTTTTTTGAAATTTGGAAAAATCTGCCGAAAGGGACCAGCGGGAGGCAGTCCAATTTTGATGGGGGCAGTTTTTAGGGAGCATTGAAATCGGCAGGTGGCCGACTTGCTACTGTCGCATTTCACCTTTTAAACGATCAAGTATACAGAAAATCGGGGGGATGCTAAGAACGTTTAATATTGATAATAAAGGTACTAAAAAATCGCAGAAATAAAATATTGCAACAGAGTTACTAAAAATAACTTAAGATATCGCGGATCCGACGAACAAAATCAAAAACTTTGCTTATGCAAATTCATGATAGAAAATCCGAAAGTCCCATATTCCGTTAGCTATTCAAGGCCGAGTCAAGGGGAGTTGAGCCCGGGAAATTGGGATTGCGGACCCGGTTTAGACGATATTTTATTTCCCAAGGTCATGCGAGGGGTCGGGCGCGAGCAATATGGAAAGTAGCGGAATAGATCTCAGAAAATTTGGTAGTCTTTGACCATAACCAGAAGCCTTTCCGAAAATGAAATTCAAATCAAGGCCGACTCGAGAACACTAGCGGTTTGATGCAAATAATCAAGTTCAAAAGCCCCACCTGAAGGCGTGGCGTAGCCGTCCTCGTCGTCGCTCTCGTCGCCAAACATCATGGTGGCCGTGTGGTGGCTCTAGAACAAATCCCCATCATCATCCCCCTTCCATTCCATTCCATTCCAATACACATTTCCCATCGACGGGCCAAAGGAGCACACAATGGACAAACAAATTGAGGGTGGGAATATTTGAGGATCGGAGCTTTTGGGAAAAAGTGTGAGAGTCAAGATCGAAGAAAAGTAAGG